GCAAGCTCCATTCTCTGATCTTTAGACAAGCTTTATTTATACAAGCAAGATATCACCACAGATTACAGTTAGTACATATAAGAGTGAAGATTTGCATTGCCTCGAAGCAGGACCACATAGTTTTCAAAGACGGGGTGCTCTTCCAGAACAAAGAATGGCTAAGGTATTTAATTGGAAAGCCTATACATATTCATATAGGGAAGGCATTTTGGGGTGGGTGCACAGCTGTTTATGTTCAATTTAAGATTACACACCAGAGCATACTCAGGTGTAGTCACAATTCAAGAAGAAAATGTGGCAGAAGTGGACTGTTCATACACATTGCAGCAAAGTTGTAAAGACAAGGGAAGATATACTCTGGGGGTAATCAGCCTGCATCCCAGATGTTTAGCAGGAAAAGGAATTTGCTGATCGCTTCCAGGCTTCATTATCAGTCTCTGACAACTACAGCAGCTAGAAAATTATAGTACAAAAGTCCTAGGAGACTAACCCCATTTCTTAGCCCTCTTCTCTAGTCTCACAGTTTCCTAGCAACCTGAGGCTCCTTGATCTTCCTGTAAGCAAACAGTCCTTAAACTTTTAGATGTGACCAAAGAGAGAACACTTTGAAGAAGAGTTAAAAACTGATTTGCTCCTAGATCTTTCATACTTTTGTGGCTACTAACAGCACAGTGGTCAGTAGCTTGCTTAGCTGGACAGCCAAAACTAGCCCAGACCAAAAGAATTCGTGCTGAGTCTAGCCTGACATCCTACCCTGAAGAATCACAAATTTGCAAACCATGTTTCTGTATACGACTAAGATTTCAGGTGGAGACCAGGAGTGGTGGTGCATGATGGCAGAGGCAGGCTGATCTCTGTGAGTTCAATCTCTGGTCTGTATTGAGAATTGCAGGCCAGCAAGACACCCTGTTTCTAAAACATCTCCGGGAGGGGGTTCAATTTTTCTTGTTTCGTTTGTTGCCAAAATGAAGCATTTCATTAAATATCCTTATAAGGAGGAACCTACAAACACTATAGAAAACATAAGGGCCAAGACCCTGGATAAGGAAGTTCTTCCTACTCAGCAAGGCTGATCTTTGCTGTTAAATAACTGGAGGATGGATATACTTTGTCTGCCTACAACATTCAAAAGTAGCCCACTGTTCATCTTGTGTTGAGACTTTGTGGTAGTGCTGAGAAGGGGAAGAAGTTGTATACCACTTCCAAGAAGAATAAGAGGATGTTAAGTCAGCTATCCTGAAATACCATAAGGTGGATGAAATGGCGAAATTCATTGCCTTCATCAAGAATGCCCTTCAGATGAATGTGGCTCTGGGGCTTTCATGGTCAGCTACTTTGACAAAAACTGTTGTGGCAAGTGTTATCTGATTTACTGCATTCCCAAAAGACAACTGTGTACGAATTAATGAAAAGACAGTAACTAGCTTTTCTCCCAAAAGGCTTTCAGGTGGTCATGATGCAAAAGCCTTTGACCAGCCGGGCGTTGGTGGCGCATGCCTTTAATCCCAGCAGAGGCAGGCGGATCTCTGTGAGTTCGAGGCCAGCCTGGTCTCCAGAGTGCCAGGATAGGCTCCAAAGCTACACAGAGAAACCCTGCCTTGAAAAACCAAAAAAAGCCTTTGACCTTTGGTTCTCTTTCTCACTTTCTCCTGTGACGTCCAAACTCTACAGCTGTGGAACTCAGAGGTTGACAAATGCCAAGGACTCCAAGGCCAATGCAACACGCTTTATTTACCCCAGGCAAAGCCACTCACCTTTGGTCTCAGGGGCAGTGTGGTGGTCTGAATGAAAATGGCCCCCACAGATTGACAGGTAGTGGCATTATTAGATGGATTCCTTCCTTGTTGGAGGAAGTGTGTCACTGTGGGAGGTGTGGGAGTGGGATTTGAGGCTTCAGAAGTTCAAGCCAGTTCAAGACAGTGACTCACTGTCTCTTCCTGCTGCCTGCAGATCCAGATGCACAACTCTCAGCTCTTCTCCAGCACCATGTCTGCCTGCTTACCACCATGCTTCCTGCTATGACAGTAATGGACTAAACCTCTGAACTGTGAGCCAGCCCCAATTAAATGTTTTTTGTTTTTTGTTTTTTTCCTAAGAGGTGCTATGATCATGAAGGATCAAAAAATTGGTGAAGGTTGGAAAGACTTGGGCTCTGAAGGGAAGAGAGAGGGGAAGCTTCTGATGGTTGGGAATGCCATGGCTGATGCCTGAGCCCTGCTCCCAGAGAGGAAGAGGTGACTATTCATCACTCCCGTTGGCATTCTTTTGCTGATTGCTGGTTGTAAAGGTGCCCTGCTGGTTGTAAAGATTCCCCAGGCCAGAGGATAATTGACAGACCCTGTAAGACCCGAAATCGCACCTGTAACACCCGCAACCGCATTCCCATTAATTTGTATAGTCACTGACTCTGTACTTTGTGTGACCTTAAGTAACCATAAAAACTCTGTAGTTTATGGTCTGCCTCTTTGACTGGATGGTATCTCATTTGCCTGCTATGCAATGAGATCCTGAAGGACCCCAGCCTAAGATGTTTCCTTTGCAGATATGTGAGAAGCTAAATTTACAACCTCTAACAGGAAAGAGCCGCTAAAGTTAAAGAACAAATGGTTCCCAGAGATGAACATTTAACTGACCTAAAAGACCCCCGAGCCCGGAGATTGTGCTCGGAGGTTACAGTCGGCCACCAGGAATGCGTCAATCAGAACTGTTGCCCTCGCTCACC